GAGAAGCAGGACTGTCTGGCTTCGGTCGGAACTCGAAGGCAGCTTTCTCTCCGAGGTTTGCAGCCATTGCTGGGGCTCTGAGAGGCAGAGCCCCTGGGGAAGGAACTGAGAGTCGCCATAACTGCTTGTTCCGCCCGCCCTGTAGATCCCCGGGGACCCGCCCCGCCCAAGCCCTGCTCAGAGCCATTTGCCGGATAGCCTCAGGCAAACGCTAGATTAGCACCGCCCTAGAGATCCAGCACAGAAGCCCTCCCACTACAGACACAGCAGACTCTCCTAGCCAGTTAGCCTGGAGGTCAAATCACCCCGGTATTGCCGACATCAATCAAGGCTTAAAGGCAACAAGACTGCGGACAAAGACCACTAGGGGGTGCATCAAGAAAGCATAAAAAATGCGGAGACAAAGAAACAGGACAAAACTGTCAATGGAGGATATTGAGTTCAGAACCACACTTTTAAGGTCTCTTAAGAACTGTCTAGAAGCTGCCGATAAACTTAGTAAGGCCCTCGAAAAGACTGGTGAGACCGCCGATAAATGTAGTGAGATCCTCAAGAAATCTAATGAGACCCTCGATGTTGTGATAAAGAACCAACTAGAAATTAAGCATACACTGACTGAAATAAAGAATATTATACAGACACCCAACAGCAGACCAGAGGAGAGCAAGAATCAAGTCAAAGATTCGAAATGCGAAGAAGCAAAAAACACCCAACCAGAAAAGCAAAATGAAAAAAGAATCCGAAAATATGAAGATAGTGTAAGGAGCCTCTGGGACAGCTTCAAGCGCACCAACATCAGAATTATAGGGGTGCCAGAGGATGAGAGAGAGCAAGATATTGAAAACCTATTTAAAGAAATAATGACAGAAAACTTCCCCCACCTGGTGAAAGAAATAGACCTACAGGTCCAGGAAGCGCAGAGAACCCCAAACAAAAGGAATCCAAAGAGGACCACACCAAGACACATCATCATTAAAATGCCAAGAGCAAAAGACAAAGAGAGAATCTTAAAAGCAGCAAGAGAAAGAAACCCAGTTACCTACAAGGGAATACCCATACGACTGTCAGCTGATTTCTCAACAGAAACTTTGCAGGCCAGAAGGGAATGGCAAGAAATATTCAAAGTGATGAATACCAAGAACCTACAACCAAGATTACTTTATCCAGCAAAGCTATCATTCAGAACGGAAGGTCAGATAAAGAGCTTCACAGATAAGGAAAAGCTAAAGGAGTTCATCACCACCAAACCAGTATTATATGAAATGCTGAAAGGTATCCTTTAAGAAGAGGAAGAAGAAAAAAAAAGGTAAAGATACAAATTATGAACAACAAATATGCATCTATCAACAAGTGAATCTAAGAATCAAGTGAATAAATAATCTGGTGATCATAATAGAATCAGGGACATAGAAAGGGAATGGACTGACTATTCTTGGGGGGGAAAGGGGTGTGGGAGATGCGGGAAGAGACTGGACAAAAATCGTGCACCTATGGAAGAGGACAGTGGGTGGGGAGTGAGGGCGGAGGGTGGGGCGGGAGCTGGGAGGAGGGGAGTTATGGGGGGGAAAAAAAGAGGAACAAATGTAATAATCTGAACAATAAAGATTTAATTAAAAAAAAAAAAAGAATAATACATCTAAGTATACCAGCGAGAAATTGGAAAGATTATATAATAAGCTCTAAATACTAATCTCCAAGGAATAGCATTATGAAGGACTCTTAACTTTTTACTTAATATATTTATACTAGAGGCCTGGGGCATGAAATTCGTGCATGGGAAGGGGGGTCCCCTCAGCCCAGCCTGCACCCTTTTCAATCCGGGACCCCTCAGGGGTTGTCCGACTGCTGGTTTAGGCCCAACTGGGCCTAATCCGGCAGTCAGACATCTCTCTCACAATCCGGGACTGCTGGCTCCTAACTGCTCACCTGCCTGCCTGCTTGATCACCCCCAACTGCCCCCCACTCCCCCGCCGGCCTGATCGCCCCACACAGCCTGCTGTTCAGTTGTTTGGTCGTCCCTCACTAACCCCTTGCTGGCCTGGTCACTCCATGCAGCCTGCTATTTGGTCGTCCGTCCGGTTGTTTCTGTCGTGAGGGCCCCTGGATAGTCTTGGAACATCTTAAAATGAATATTAATACTGTAATCAGAAAAAAAAGTCAGACACTTTAAAGTGTCACCTAGAAACATTCTAGACCAGCGGTTCTCAACCTGTGGGTCGCATGACCCTTTGGGGGTCGAACGACCCTTTCACAGGGGTCGCCTAAGACCATCCTGCATATCAGATATTTACATTACAATTCATAACAGTAGCAACATTACAGTTATGAAGTATCAACAAAAATAATTTTATGGTTGGGTCACAACATGAGGAACTGTATTTAAAGGGCCAGAAGGTTGAGAACCACTGACTATTAGGAGTGAAATAGATCTTAGGAATTGAGTAGGAAACATCTTTAAATTAATATAACCTAATACTCTCATTTATAGATAAGGGAATTGATTCCTATAAATGTGAAATGAGTTAGCCAAATGCCCCACAACAATTAGTAGCAAATCTGCCTTTAGAACACAGTTATAGAACTCTTTGAATTATGCCACAATGTCTTTTAAAAAGCAGTACAGATTTTGAAAAAGGTAAAATATAAATGTGTCCATATTTTTTCTTTTTTAAGAAGTAGCTCATCATTAGAATAACATAAAAGTTACAACTTCATAAATTGTGATAGGTTTTTAAAATAACCTGAATGTTATTAAAGAGGTGATTAACACCCATATGCTCATCCTCAGAAGAGAAAAATTAAAGCCAAGGGATTTGTGGAAATTCTATAGTGTATTAGTAGTAGAGCTGAAACTTGAACTCTGGACTCAGGATTCTTAGTCAAAGACTTCTGTACTTTGCCAAATTGCTTCCTACAGACTGATGTGCATTTATTAAATATTTATTATGGTGCTAGGTGCTGCTGCCAAAGATAAACTAGGCACAGTCTACACCCTTGAAAAATAAAATAAAATGTGCCAATAAAATGTTCATTTAAGAGACTTCAGCATAGATAATATTAGTTGAGAAAGCCTAATGAACTCATCTCAAGGTCTGATCAGATTCTTTACTTTTAAATTAAAAAATGATGCATCTGAGAACTTTTTTCCTTTTCCCAATAAAGGATTTCAAGGAATTCCATACCAATATATAAAGTATCACAACCTTCTCAAAGGGAAGGATTATTATATCCATTAGGAAATGAGGGCAGAGACATTAAATGATTTATCCATTAGTCACTAAGAGTAAGAATAACTCTAAGATCCCTTACTTCTGGGTATTTCCAGAATCACATGTTTTATGGATCCAAATTAACCTGGACCACTCCTAGAATCCTGGACATATCTGGAAAGTGATCATTACACTTTATTTTAGGTTATGTCGACCACAAACCTGACAGAACCTGACGCATCTGAATGGACCCCACCACATTATGCCTTCTAACCAGGGTTTACTCCACCAGAAGTGGGGAACCATTTATTATTCCATGGGTGAGGCTGCATGCATCAACAGCCAAGTCAATAGCAAATGAATGGAAACCACAAAATTAAAGGTGTTATTGGCATCAAGACCCAAACTTAAAGTGCTGATCCAGGAATGACAATCTCTAAATATTTTCAGACAAGTTAGGAACACAAGTAAGACCAGCTCTGGGCAGATCCCAGTAGTGTGACTGGCAGCAACAGTATAGTGAGCATTTACCTTGGCATTGAAGCCACACCTTGCCCTTTGTGCTCTGGCTATGTTTTATGCAAATTTTAAGAAACAGAGCCATTTTTTGTTCCAGGTTTATTTTCTTAACCAGCCTCTGCTTCCCTTAACAGGTTACCTTCATTGTAGTAAACAAAAAAATAAGTCTCTAATCTATTTGTATACTTTTACAACATTCTGGTTGCCGGTGGAAATGCAGATCCTTTCTTCCATAGTTCTTCAGGCTTTCCGGATATGTAGTTCAGATCTACTAAGAAATAAATTAATTGGGAGAACAAGCAGGCGAAGGTGAGGGAGGGTCTTCAGATCATGAAGAAGAGAGGGAAGGACAGAGGATTTTGTAGGAGAGGTCTCAGACTGCAGTGCAGTGCTAAGAAAGATATGGCCAGGTAGATGTGAAATCCCAGAATCACAGTCATGGGGAGTCCTGCATATTGCCAGAATGGCCCGCCTAGTAACTCTGTTGTGCTCTGTCTTTGGCTGAGAGAAGTCCATGGGAAGTGTGGCCTTGGGGCAAATGCAGTGGTGGATCCAGAGAGACTGGATCTCAGGCTGTTACTCAATTTTGCTCCCATGACAAGAGGTCTGAGATGAGCATTTTCATGACTGCCTCAGTCTACTCCTTGTATCACACACATCTATCTTCTTCACATAGGTCTGGAGATCAGCTCCCTTTGGGGTCCTCTTTCTGAGGGGAAGTTAGAAGAGGGGTAGCAGTACCATGTCTGGCACAATAGCCATGATTGTGGATACTACTTGGTTGAACTTGGTCTATCAACGTTCTCCAAGATGGCTTCTACAAGGGCCAGATTAGTGAATTAAATAAAGACATGCTGGTAGCCACCATCGTTGCCTCCTTTAGATCTTTAGTGGCAGTACTAATCTCTACATCATCTCCAAGATGCAATATCTATAATTTTTTACTTACTATGTTGGCTGTGAGGAAGGACAATTCAAAGATTTCTATTTTTCTTTCCTAAAATAACGTGTAATGATCACTTTCCAGGTATGTCCAGGATTCTCACTGCATAGGCCAAGGGCCCCAATGGGGAGTTGCCTCAGAAGGTCTCATAGGAATCATTACAGTATATATTTTCTGTGGTGTTTAGTCAAAGGGTTCAGGTCTGGAAACTGAGCAAAGGATCATGACTTTTTATAGGTGTTGCTGCTGGCTCCTTGCTCTCCCATTCTTGCCATCCTTTTTAAAGATGTTAAGTAGAAAACTTACTGGCTGTCCTATTTTGTTCCTAGGAAAACCATGCTCTGTCAACCATTTCCATAACTCCCCATGGGTCAAACTTCTTGGTTCCTCTGCTCTTGCAGGTCATTAAGGTAATTGCAACTTCCTGACTTCTGACAGGTAAGTACTACCACCTGGCCTCTCTACTTTGGGGACTGTCCTCTCCATGAACATTAATGAGCCCAGCAATGTGATGGTCTCTCCTATCATCCTCCCTGGCCTGCAGAGGAGCCACTACCAAATTTCTTAGTGATGCTGTGCACCTCTCCATGCATTCCTGATGGCTGTGGGAAAAAGGTCTTCTGGCCTTATGAAACATGTGCATTTGAGGATGCCCACTTCCAGGTTTAGGATGAGGGTGAGGCAAGAGACTGCTCCTGCTGGACAGGAGAGTGAGTGACTCCTTAAATTTTGCCCCTGTACATCTCTCTTGCCTCACCCTCATCTTGGTCTTGTCTCTTTATTTTTATCTCTAGCATCTGGCAGAGCAACTTGGGCATTTCCACTTTGCTGAGTGTTGGTCAAAGCTGTTATCAGACTTCTCAGAGCCATCCTAGCTGAGAATTTCCCCTGTACTCTGGGGTCGTCACCAGGTTTTGAATATTGTGCCCATGAAAAAAGTTCCTTCAAGTTAATGAATTCTTGCTTATCCAACCCAGTCTTATATTCTGGCCCCTTTCACCAAGCACCCTTGAAATCCAATCCCAGGGTTACTCCCCTGACTCCCATTGGTACATGCCAGGTAATTCTTGCAACTTCTTGGTGTAGAGTCTTTTTCTTCTTTTAGCAGACCAAGCAGGTCTTCAGCTGAGTAGCCAAGAGTGAAGGAGAGTGTTAGATGGACTCTGATGGCTGTCTTGATGTAAGCCACGGGTTGTGAAAGATTTCACAGAGAAAGGTGAGCAGAAAAGGGTCTATTCACTTTCCAATGGAGGAAAGGGGCTGAGAGCTAACAGCTCTATCTCTGTGAGGGACTGAGCTTTTTAAGGGCTGTTTAAAGGTTAAGATGGGGTCTCTGGGGTGGAGCTGGCATCAGTGGGTATACAGCATACTCTGTTCCTTGGGCAGGGTGTAGCTATATCTGGCATAGATTTAGAGCTGGGTGGAGTGAGGGGTAGAAATTTACTGTGGGTTAAGTAAAAGATCTGTGGTCTTAGATGGACATTGGGTTAGGTTCTGTCAGAGCGGGCATCTCCTGAGGTGGCATCTCCTGTTTCTTTGCCAGGACAGGCCTCTGCAGCATTTTCCAGCTCAGTGGAGGTGCTTCCTCTGACTAGAAATAGGTAGACACTTTATGCAGGCTCTGGGGGCTCCGGAGAATCTGCACAGCCAGTACCTTCAGGGAACATTCATCCAGATGTTCCCATCCCATTTTTCTGGGTCCCAGTTTTCCCTTAGCATAACAGACCTACCCTGGCTGGTATTCAAATATCACTGGAGCTCTGCAACTTTAACTCTCAAATCTGCTGCTTCCTTTCTTCTTTTCTACTGCAGGGGATAAAAGCTTCCTTGTAAAGAATTCCCTTTAACTGATTGTCAGTAGCCCTCAGTTTCTCATTACTCCTCTGTAGGGCATCAATATAACTGAGAAATAACTTGCCAAATCTGTTTGATTGGACTGGAATGATTGGACCTGTACCAGTGTTCTCTTCCACTGGAATATTTCCCCAGGTCATTGCTGGTGAAATCTTTAGCAATTGGGCCCCCACCGTGTGTCAGGTGCTCTCTGTGCCTTACCTACCACGTCGAATGGCACCCTCTTAATCTACTGTTTGGAGGGAGAGCCAATCCCAAATCCCCATCTTCCTGCCTGTTTTCTCAGACCACAGTCTGCACCAATTGTGTTAGTTTGAATCCACCCAAGGTAAATGCCAAAGTGGGATTAGAAATAAAGGAGTCATTTATTGGGGAAGGGGGCAGGAGGAGTCTTCAGGCTGTTGGTGTAGAAGGGATGGGGGATGGACTGAGGATTGGGTAGGAGAGGTCACAGACTGCAGTGTAGTGCTAAAGATATGGCCAGGTTGATGGGGTGTCCTGAAATCATAGTCACTGCATGTTGCCAGAACTGGCCTGCCTTAGTGCCTCTGCTGTGCTCTATCATTGCCTGGGAGCAGTTCATGGGAAGTATAGCCTCAGGGCAAATGCAGTGGTAGCTTCAGAGACACAGAATCTGAGATTGTCAATTCTGCTCCCACAGTGGGAGATCTGAGAGGAGCTTTGTCATGACTGTGATGACACATGGCAGACTAGCTGCTAATGACTTCTAGACTTCACTGGGCTAGACATGTTTGATTTTACAGTGGAAAACAGTGAAGAGGACAGACTAGTAGGTACTTCTGGGATAGCTATTTTAGTATCATTTAAATGACTATTTTCATTTTTTCAAAGTAGAAGAAGGCAAAGGGAATAAGTGTATCTAAACAACTTGCATCACAGTTAAGTGGGTTAACAAATCTAGCCCAGGTCAGATATTTCAGACCAAAAATGTCTATTCTCTCCGGTTCCATAGTGCCTTTTTGGGTGTCGTTTTGCAGGTAGATGTGCTTTGGTATAACTGAATGTTTCAGCTCATCCAGATGGTCACACTACCAATATCACTGTGGTGTTTTGGACCTACTGAGGGGACTATCAGAAACAATGCAGTGCAGTTGCTTCAGACCGAGGGCTTTATGACTCCTGCATCATGCAAGTGTTTTTACCCTCTAGGCAGCTATTTGCTCTGTGTTTTCTTTTGCCTATATTTTCTTTCTCTCTTTACCCACCTTACTGGTATTACTAGAGTCCAGACACCTTACAAAAAAGTTTGGTAATTATCTAGGAGATTGATGATAAGGATGTTATTTGTCTTTGGCTTATGTTTGCTATCTTCAGCCTGTGCCCTGCTGGAGTATGTGCTTCCCCCCCATTATCTTAATAAGTCATTATTTCTCTAATGTTTCTCCAAGTTCATCCCCTCTGTTGCTACCTCTGTTTTCTCTCTCCTTTGGTATTTTGGGAGTAGTGATAAATGTTGGGTAGAAAAAATAAGAATGGTGGAGTGTAGCTTTGCACATGTTCATTGTACTTTTGGGACTTTGTTCTGATTGTATTATCAGAAGAAATTCCCCAGATGCCTACTAGTATATGACCAAGCTAAGTCAGAAAATTTGGTACGTATTCATTTCCAAAGACACCTTGGATTTATAATAGAGATAAGGCAGAGAAAGGAGAGATTACAACTTGAATGGCCTCTGTTCAGGGCTGTAGGAATTCCCTGAGTCTCAGTGAATAAACAGTTATGTGATCTTAGGGTCAAAACAGAAATTGTGCTAGAGTCAGCAGTTGGGATATGCAGGTAAACTGATAAGCACTATTAATTTGAGTTCTCAAACAGATAGGGCTAAGGACTATATGTAGTTTTTGAAGAGCATTTGTCTTTTGTGACATAACTAAGACGCTCTTGCCCTTTCTGTGATCTGACAGTGTATCATAAAGCATTTTAGTGCACTTTCTTTCATACTCCTTTTTCTTGATGACTCACTCTCAGTGTTATAAGCAAGGAGGCATACCATTTATATCAATTTTTTTTATTGCTGCTGGGATAATTTACCATAAACAGTGACTTAGAACAATACAAAATTATTATCTTATAGTTTTGGAGGTTAGAACTCTAAAATGGTTTTAACTCTAAAATAGGCTAAAATGAAGGCATTGTCGGCATTGCATTTCTCTGAAGTCTCTAGAAGACAATCCATTCCTCGCCTTCTCCAGTTTATAGAGGCTTTCCATATTCCCTGGTTTATATTCACCTTCCATCTTCAAAGCCAGCAATAGAAGGTTGAGTCCTCTTATCCCATGACCCCCACATTTTTCCTGTTGTTACATCTCCTTCTCTAACTCTGACTCTCCTGTCTTTCTCTTTCACATATAAGGACTCTTGTTATTCCATAGGGGCCCACAGATATTTCAGAATAATCTCCCAATTTCAAGATCCTTAACTTAATTACTTCTGCAGAGTTCCTTTTGCCATGTAAAGAAACATATTTTAGGTTCTGGGGGTTAGAGTGTGCACATGTTTTGGGGGCATAATTCTGCGTACCACAGTCCTACCAGTAATCCTTAAGGACTCGCATTCATTTAATTTGTAAAATACATCCACTCTATCCCACAGTCCCTAAAGATATCACCTCTTTACAGCATTAACTCAAGTCTAAAATCTCATCTAATAAAAGTCCCAAATCTGATTATCTAAATTTTCTAAATTAGATATGGATGGGATTCTGGATATGATCTGTTCTAGGGAAAAATTTCTCCCCTGGCATTTATTGTTGTAGCAAAAATAAACTTGGCTGCCCTTTAAAACTTTTCTTGGAAATCTCAGCTAAATATTCAAGCTCATAATTTACAAATTTAGCTTTTTAAATAACTTCAGGACAAAATTCATCTGAGCTTCTGCCACTGTATAGCAAGAATCCTCTTTCCTTCAGTTTCCAGTAACATGCTCCTCATTTCTCTCTGAGCCCTTACTAGCAGAGTTCTTACATCCACATTTCCACCAACAGTCTGTTCAAGGCAATTTAGACTTTTTTCTATCATGCTCTCCAAAATTCTTCTGGCCTCTAGCCATTGCCCAATTCCGCAGCCACTTCCACATTTTTAGATATTTGTTATAGCAGCACCCTGCTTCTGGCACCAAAATTTGTGTTAATTCCCATTATAACAAATTATAACAAATCACAACCAATTTAGTAGATTAAAACAACATAAACTTATAATCTTTGGAAGTCAGAAGTCCAAGATGGGTTTCACTGGGCTCAAATAAAGGTGTCACGGCAAGCCTCCTGGAGGTTGCAGTGGACAGTCCAGCTCCTGTCCTTTCTACCTTATAGAGGCTGCCGATATTTCTTGGCTCATGTTTCCCTTCCATGTTCAAAACCAGAAATGGTAGGCTGAGTCCTCATATCACATCCCTCCAGCCTTCTTTCTGTCATCACATCTTCTCTTGCCTCCATCCTTCATTTATAAGGGTTCTTGTAATTACATTGTGTCCACCCAAATAATCCAGAATAATCACCCCATTGAAAGATCATTTAACTTAATCACATCTAGAACGTCTCTTTTGCAATGTAAGGTAACACATTCACAGGTTCTGTGCATTAGGATATGGACACATTGGGGGAGGGGTGCATTGGAGCCTATCACACCATTGTATAAAGAAGCATTGTTGTATATTCCCCTACTTCCTTCCCTCCCATTTAAATCACTCATTGAGAGAGAGAGAGAGACATCAATGATGAGAGAGAATCATTGATTGCCTGCCTCCTGCATGCCCCCTACTGGAGCTCAAGCCCACAACCTGGTTCAGAGGTTGGTGCTCAACCACTGAACCATGCTGGCCAGGCAGAAAAGATTATTTTTAACAGAAAGGTTACACATGGATTTCTTTAAATAGAATTTACCTCTTTGAATCTCTGTTTTCTTATGAGGGAAAATCACTAGGAAGTCTCTTAGAGCCTTCTATCTCTACAATTTAATAAACCTAATGTGCCCTCCAGTTTAATTAAATCAGGATGTGAAATGTGTTCATTGTAAAGTAGACTCAAGGCTTATGATCCAGAGCTTCAAGGAAGTTCAGGTCTTTGGATAAAAGAGACCTACAGCTTCTTTTGCAACCAGAAACACACACACACACACACACACACACACACACACACACACACACACCCTGTACAAATCTAATTACACATGAAATAATATAACCTAAACAGAACAGAACATGCAATTGAGGAAAGGCCTAGAAGTCAGAGAGCAGAGATTAGAAAAGAGACAAAGGGCTGGCACCGGCTCAGTGCTCAGGAGGGATACCTCCTAGCAGTTTTCCAAGGGGATCCAACCAAGGTGCAGGTAACAACCCCATCA